CGAATCTGAAGTTCGGCAGATGCGGTCCATCACTAACTTTTACGGCGTGTGTGTGTGTAGGTGTTGTAAAAGGGGGAAAGGGGGGGAGAGGAGAGGGCCAATTGTGTATGAGCACCGGGCGTCTTGGTCACTGGCTCCTTTTACGGCGCAGGCGATAGACTCCCTTGCAACGACGCTCACGCCGGATGGGCTGCTCGGCAACGCGCGGGAACAATTTTGGATTCGGACGGCGCGTGTATCACTCGAAGCGCATTAACCCACCCCCGCGGCTGCGTTCACGCCGCTTCGCGGCGACAGTGTGCGGCTGCTAATTACAAATCTATTAACCCACTTAGCCCCCCCCCCCCCCCCCTCCCCCCGTACACTCCGCTTTGCGGCGTCCAGTCGGCAACCTAAGCCCCGCTGTCCCCCATGCACTTCCATAGAGCCCCATACGATTTAGTTCAGCGATGTTTCGTCAACAGCATTCGTTTTTTTTTCTCCTTTTTTTTAGTTTTAATGTTAAAAAAAAATGTAAATATCGCCAAATGCCTCGATAACACAAAAAGTTCGAGAAAAAAAGAATAAAAATAAGTAAGCCCACACCATAAACAGGACCCGGGTCTGATACGTATTAGGCAGACATCTCACCACTAAGCTACGCTACCTCTTCGGAAACTCGCACTGTATCCGATGCCTATGTTGACGGCGGCAGCGCCTATCTCGAAGCAAGCAAGCAAAACTTTATTTTGTGTAAGGGCCTACATCCTGGTCCGGACGGCCCGTCCGGCCCACGTCTCGCGGATGGATTCCGCAAAGGGACCGTGGAGCCTTGTTCGCGGAGCAAGGCTCCACGAACCAGCCAATCCGGCGTGAGCGCCGTTGCTAGGGTTTGTATCGCCCGCGCGTTAAAAATATGCCCGCGCGGGTCGGGGGCCAGTGCCCTTGGTAATTTGGTATTCCTTGGGCGCCGCCGGCCAGTGTTTGCCCTGCCCAGTGGCGGCCGTTTCAGGGGGAGGGGGGGGGGGGGGGCAAAACACCATGCCTTGACCCCCCCCCCCCCCCCCCACACACACACACACTCTGAGAACTGGGGAGGCAAGCGCCCCCCTTGCCCCCACGGTTGGTCCTCTATTCTCAATACCCTCCCCCCCCCCCCCCCCCCCCTTTAAACATTTAGAAAACCCCAAATTTCAGTTCCTGGGAAAAAGTTCCTAGGGGTTGTGTATCAGATCCCCTTCACATGTGGTAGGGTGCACATTGGACAAACGGGGAGGTGCGTGAACGTGAGGGCGAGGGAGCATTCCCTTTCTCTCCGTTCTTCCCCCGCTGGCCACTTAGCGGTACATAGCAGCAGTCTTGGGCAGTAACTAGTTACTAGTAACGCGTTACCGGTAACTAGTTACTTTTTCCGGTAACTTTTGCCTGTAACGCGTTACTCTTTAATAGTGGTAACTTGTAACTGTAGCACTGTTACTTTTTATGGGGTAACTGTAACTGTTCACGAAGTTACAGTTACTTTTTTTTTTTTCCTATATAAATTAGAACCCGCTGCCGCGGACATGAAAAAATTTCCATCTTGAAGTATTGTTCTCCAAGCTCCTCGATGACAAAAAAAAAAAAATAAAGAGAAGCGTGATCACGCATTAAACAAACAAAAAATTGTCTGGTTTAGCCCACGACCGAGAATGGAGAAAGGACGAGTCAGCACGAAACTGAGAGATAAAGGAAGCGGCGCCTGCGGTGGTAGGGGCAGCAAACAATGTCTGTTTCACCGACTTTGGCTCACTCTTCTTTCGTGGGGACCATCTGCGGGTGTCGGTGGTCCTGTGATATGTCTCCGAGTATTCCGTCTGGGCTGTGTCCGTGCTGTCGTTTTTACACCCAGCCGTTCGCCGTTTCCTCTTCCCTATTAGTTTCCAAGGAAGCCGTCCCCATATTGTGCAGAAAGCCGGCGCTTGTTTAACTTATTCATTCCCTTCGGAGGCTCTCGAGTGAACACGACTTCTACAGTTGGCGTTTCGGACATAGACGCCGGGGTTGTCGCCGTACACTCGCAAAGCACCAGAAGTTAATTATCTCCTTTCCCCCTTTATTCTTTCGAAGCTGTTTGACCTGCTATGTTTAGGCCTGCTTCCAAGTATATCCCATAAGGTAATGATGTGACTATATCTGTTCTCATTCGTTTCGGAGTGAAATATAAACCAAAACGTTCACTTACACGTGCCAATGACAATTTTGAAAAACGGTTGATTGTAGGTTATAACAATTATTGCAGATAAATTATGCACATCAAAATGCTGAAATGGCGAATGATGCAAAAAAAGAAACACCCTTCGGGTTTAAATTTGTCTAATATCTCATTTTACGTTTCTTTTCACTATAGTGTAACAACTAAAATATTACTGTTTTGGTTTGGGATATCTTGTGTCCAATTTTCGTACAGTAACGAGAAAGTAACGACGTTACTGTTTTTACAGTAACTGTAACTGTAACACGTTACTTTTTTGAAACCGGTAACTGTAACTGTAACAGAGCTACTTTTTCCCATAGGTAACTGTAACTGTAACACTGTTACTTTTTACTGGTAACGTGCGCATGCCTGCATAGCAGTAGGTGCGGCTGCGTACCTATATTTAATGACTTGACGATCTTGGCGCGTAATAAAAGTAAGACCGCCAGAGAGATTGAAGAGGCATTTTTTTCATTTTATCAAAAGGGGAAGGGGAATGTGTGAGCGCACCGTCGGTGCACTTGGGGGATGATGAAGTCCTTTTTATCGGGGAGAATGGCAGGCACGTGTGAGGGTAATGACGCGGTAGAAATCTTGTTGGTTGGGTTGTATTTTTTGTGTGTGTGTCTGGATTGGTTCTTTCCTATGCTCCTTGTGTTTATTTTTCCGGTTCGCTTGAAAATTAAACTTTAGTTGATTGTCAGCGCTTTGTCCGTGCACTTCTTTCACCTATCCTTTGTCATATTTTTGCGCTGTTTTCACGTTTGAAGATGTTCAACCAAATCGCCCAACTTACCGCCTTGTTATTGAAAATTATATGCCACGTGAAACAAGACCTTCGATCATCTACAAGACCTACACCTACAACACCGACTTAATGAATCGAATTTGTCTCTTTCCAAAGTGTTTTAAATATATATGCCTAAACAGCTTCACGGTAAGATGGACATCCTAAATCTACTTCTATGTGCCGTCAAAGTGACATAACGCGTAAATTATTAGCTCCAGGAGATTCAGAACTCTGCAGCACTTTCGCAGTAAAGCCGTATACCAAAACAATGTCTTCTATATATGAATTTCTGCTTGCATCGGCCTGTTCTTTAAAGGGACACTGACAGTGTATTTATGCTCGCCGGGGTTTTTAGTTGTACGTGACATATGAGAGCTCAACTACCCAGAACAGAATTTGCGGCTCGAAATTCGGTTTCTTTCCGCCCGAAAACCGCCGATCAAGAACTGGCCGGTTCGAGTCTCGCTCACTCTCTTTTCCGCGGTCACGGGCCGTTTTCTAAGGTATCGATGCGACCACCAAATTTAATCAAAGTCGTGGGTCACTGAAGGCACACACTCAATATTAAAAATAGAAAAAAATATGAAACCCATTTTTTGTGGCTTCTAAAAAGCTGCAAATACGTTGATTGAAAAAAAAGTTCCACAGACAACCGGAAGCATTCTGTGCGTGCGTCGTTTCGCGTTTCGCGTATCGTGGGACTCGCAGGGACGGCGATGGCAGCGGACGACGGGCGTGGGGCTTCTATTTCAGAACTGTCGTTCGCGGTACCGGCGAATTTTGTCTGCTTTTAAAAGAGAAATTTGGGACTGATCAAAAGAATTGGTATTCATCCCGTACGACATGCCCGACCACCAAGCCGATTTGCACGAAGACGTCGCCGAGCCGTCGCTCCCTTCTCGTGACTGAAGACATCGCTCGCGCAAACGTCAAGCACGACGTGTCTACTTCGAGTTGAATATGCACGCGTACGATTTCTTTACTAGGTGAGAATGTCGCCAATGCGTGGTGCATCCCGACTTCGACCCGGGAGTGCTTTTGCTAGAGGAAAATCGGCAGCAAACTTTCCAATTTACAGTTTATTGGCTGAATTATCACCAAGGAGAGATCCCCCAATTCCGGTATGCCCCAGTAGCTCAGTGGGAAAGACGTCCCCTTCACACGCGGTAGGACCGGGTTCGATCCCCCGTGAAACTTTTTTTTTTCAAATATTTTTTGATGTTTACATTTCTTTTTTTTTTTACAATTATCATTGAAGAAACAAAAAAAAAATAAGAAACAAATGTTGTGGACGACGCGTCGCTGAATTAAATGGTATGGGATTTCCTTTTTGACACCTGCGAACTCATCACTTTCCACAAAATGCAAGGAGCATATAAATCAGCGTCCGCTTTCCGAGGTGCCCGTAAATGGTCTACAGGAATTGCAGCCAGCCATTGGTCCCGATCCCGTTGATCTTTCGGAAACTCTGTCGCACAATGCCACTTCTGTTTCGGACGCAGGACATGTGAGCCAGCTCTTCACGCAACATCTTGGGTGTATTCTTTTCGGAGCCGATCAAAATTCACCACGGGCACTCACTACTCATCTCCAACTCCTCAATGTACAAAACAACTCATCTTGGAGTACAGAACGACGAGCGGAACATACATAACTGCAAAAGAATCCCACGGCGAGCAGTTCCCGTACGCCGCATGTCGTCTGCTACCGGGAAGGAGAAAAAAAAACAAAAAAAAAACACACGGTCGGGTGTAGCCACGTGACTTCCGCCACTCACTCTCTTCTCTCCACTTCTGCGACCTCCGTCGGGTTTCGGTTTCGGTTTCGAGCAGTTGCGTCTTTTGGCTTTATTAAAAAAATACGCTACTCTGTTGCAAAATATTAATTGGGTAGTCCTCCGACACCATAATAAAGCGCCTGGCAAAAAATTAAGAAAATATTTTGGGGGGTGTCAGTGTCCCTTTAAAAAAAAAACGCCACTCAAAATAGAAAAGAAACATGCTTAAACAATGTTCAAGATTTATTTATAAAACTTTCACTGTACAAAAAAGTAAATTTAGTAAAATAGTACAGCATAAAAATACTAAAATAGATTTCCACAAAGTAACGAAAGCTTACAGGTACCATGAGCAAAATAATCTTCCAAAAAATACCATGTGAAAGCACTGTCTAAAAAGCTTAAATTTACAGATAGCGAAAGTGTACTCTTTGTGAGACGTTATTGTGTTGTCCCTTCCTTTTTGTGCCCTGTATCCTTCGCATTATTTCAGTCTGTCAGTACTTTTTTGTGAAGCATCAAGCAGGGATCAAAGTTCTGAACTTGTTGAGGGGCATACCCAATCCAGTGCTTACTGCAGTCACAATGACGAGTGGGTACGTGAAGAGATGACAGTAACATTCCTGCAGACAATTTTCATCTTCTAGAGCTCAATTTTTAGGAAAAAAACTGGTACGCTACCCTGACAAGATTAAATTGTCAAGCAAAAACGTTTTTCTTTTTTTATGTTTGAAACTGGTTTACCTAAAATAGTGAATAACTGATCTTAAATATAAGTACTTCAATTAACCAAATAGAGAGAAAATTTGGTAACAGTCTCGGTGGAGCTGAACGTTTTTCACTGCCGTTCTTCAGGTGAGAATATAGATGTGCTTTGAAAGTTTGGTTTTTGCATGGCATTTAGAGCTTCTTGTTGCGCCATAGAATTCGGAAGATTCTACAAGTCCGGCTTTACGTGGGGTTGCTCATGAAAAGAATGAATTGCAGAACAGTTTAGAAATTTCAACAGATGATGAGCTGAAAATACTCAATATTCAAGCCCCACCCTTGTGCATTCTGATCCCCTTTGCCAGTTTTGCTCAAGCCAATATTTTATTTTCTACTTCACGTATGTGCCACTGTCTGGTTCACTGGAGTTGCAAAGACTATTGCTCCCCAAACCTTGCACAATAAATTTAAAGTAGATACCGGCACCTTCAACAATACTTTCCGCAGTCCCGGCCGATTCGATTTCAAGTTAGCCATTCGCCAAATGTAATGTGCACAGCCCATTTTATCATTCCCTTTCCCGCTCCTCGAGTTTTAGGCATGATATATATCAATAGCTAGGATTGACCTTTACACAGCTCTTTGAGAAACCTGTCACTTCTGACTTAAAATGCAATCTAATGAATATACTAGCTGATAGCAAGTTTTACTTATGAGGCATATTTTGAGGCATGATTGAAAAGGATAGATTCACATGGACCTTTTTTTATGAGTAACACTGAAATGCCCGAAAGAATGACCCTACTTTTTTTAGGAACATTCACCATTTAATAGTGGAAATTGATTTATTAATTAAGTGCTTGTCTCATTCCTCTGAGTGTCATGCCTTTAACCTCCCACATTAAAATAAGCTGTAGCTTCCAGCTGGAAATGAAGAATTTCCAGCCACATTTTCGGCTAAATTATACAGCAGCAGCTGGAAATCCTGTTTACAGCTGGAAATGGATGCTGCTCATGCTGGAAATCAGAAATTCCAGCTTGGAAGTACATGATCCACCTGGAAGTTTCCCAGCTAGATGAGGAAAAATCTAATTTCCAGCAAGAAATTTCTCCATTTCTGGGTGGAAACACCCTGAAATTCGGCTGGTAAAATAGATTTCCAGCTCCAGCCGTAGTCGATTTCCGGTTCCATAACACAGCCTGGACTGGAAGCATTTCTACGTGCATTAATGCATAATGACTGGAAGCATTTCTATGTGCATTAATGCATAATTATGCATAATGACCAAACCTCCTTTTGAAATGAATTTTGGTGCAGGATGTAGGGGGCCAACTAGAGAGTTGTCTAAAGTCACATGCTGCATCACACCACCTCAGAAAAAGTTCGTTTGTCCTCCCCTTGCAGCCAGCAAGGAAAATAAATCTGCAAGCTACTGGCACCCCATTGTGACCTGGAAGGAGTTGGAAACAGATCACAAAGAAAAAGCAAGCCACGTTTGATTCTTGCAACAATAACATCTGAGAAACCAAACTTACAAGGCATGTTGCTAAAAAAAGGAAACGCATCACAAAAAAAAAAAAAAAAAAAAGCCAACAACTTCTCCCAAGTAAATGGTGGGGAAGCTGGTTTCCCACTTTTAGGATTATTCTACTGTTCAAGGAATCTTCAGAACGACATTAAGGAAACCCACAACTTCCCTCAAAATAATCCTAGAACACACAATCACAGGAGCCTGCATTGTACAAATGTAATAAATCTATGAGTGTTGTTAGTAGACAAGCCAGACCAAAATGTTTTGACTGTAAAATGTACTCAAACAATCCTGTTGAGTAATTTCAACAAGAAGCTGCCACTGATACTGTTGTCACTTCATGTGATTCCCTTGCAGGAGATCAAAGAATAGCTTGACAAGCTAAGGACAGCAAAGAAGACGAGAGTCCCAAAAGTCCATTGTGCCACGCCTTGAGCTTGCCTGCCCAGAGAAAGCTTCCTGGTAACCAGCTGATTGCATTTACGAAATCAGCCACATTGCGAAGGATGCCCAAGACATGGCCCAGTTGCTCCTTCATGAGAGCGTCACACTCCTGCCTGAAAGATTGGTGAAAAGAAAGTTCAAAAAGTCATAAACGATGCTCATTTTGTCGAAAAAATTACAGGCTTGATCACTTGCATGTAAGCAGTGACCTGCAGGGTTACCAATATTTGGCTAGAAGTTCTCCTGCCGTCAATGTCAAGACATAATTGGTAACTTGCTTTTGCATGCCCAACCCATTTCATATTGATGGAAAAAATATATAAATTAATGGCAAACAGAGAACTCGAATAATTCTCTAAAGTACTTGCGTATTAAAGCCAATATGTCAATCTTTGCCAGATATGTTCCAACAAAAAATAACACTTTGCTGGAGCAAATTAAAATTCACTCCTTTGTTAGAACACCACCCGGAAATACAGGCTTTAATGTTTTAATTTATACAGAGAAAAAAATGTTACTGTTCTCTGCTCTACATTACCATTTTAAAATACAGACAATGTGCCCACACTTGACAAGTGTTGCACTAGATGTGCTAGACAAGTATTGCAGCCATTTCGTAAGTCATGCATTGGAGAGGCAGTGGGGGAGACTGGAGGATGCAGTGATTAATTAAGGGTTCATTAAAACGCAACTATTTATATACGTCTAGGATAAGAAAGAAAGACAGAATCGAAAATGCCGGCGGGAAGTCATCCTATATTTTAATGTTATTTTTAACATGAAAGCTTGTGCAAAGACGTTTGGGGTGAAAACCATCTTCACTTCTGACTTAAAGTTAAGTTGATGCCTTTTTAAACAATGCAAAATTAATGCAAAAAAGTAACAGCAAAAAGTATGTTCCTTGGAAAGAAATAGCATTATTCACGAGCCATCGTTGGCTTGAAGTTTTAAATATGCAGGCTAGACCTCGAAATACATCAATGATAGATTGACTGAACACAAACACAATGCCAAGAACAATTTTTCCAACTTGGATTTAGCTAGGCCAATGTAAGGTGAACTAGCTATGTAACAAATGTGAGGTGAACGGATTGGAAACAGAGGTGATTCACAGAGTCCAATGATGATAAATCTGTCGTGAGAGAAACAATTCAAATAGTAATTTAGAAAAACTGCATCAGTCACCCTCCCATGCGGCTTGGCAATATGTCCAAAAGATTTGTTAAAATATAAAGTTCCAAAGTGTTTTCTTTTAAAAGTTGTTTGCTAGGTTGTCAGTAGGTCTAGAACTCTTCCATTTTTGGGCTTGTTTTATTCTTCTGCAGTGTGCCTGAGTTTGAACCCGAGGTTATTTGTTTGTCTGTGTAGAAGTTCGGACAATCTAAGTTTGTCCATTGTGTCATGTATGTCCGTGTATGAATTTTGTTCCAATGGTCTCAACCATGAAAAGTGAAGGTGAAGATATCAGGAGGTAAGACAATAGTTGACACCCCTCTTTTTTTCTTTTTGTGTGTGGGCGTGTGTGTGTGTTTGTTCGCGTGTTGTTTTGTTTTAGACAAGTGTCTCTCTCATGGAACCGTAATGAGGAAGGTACATATCTGTCTGTTGCATTGACAACATTGGAAAAAAAGTATGCAAGGCTTGGACGGAATAAATTTTATCGCTGAGTTTGATGCACTGTCTGTCCCCCTTTTTCTGTTGTATCTATTACTGTTTTAACTCCTTTCCTCCCAGTCTGAGTTTACTATCATGTTCAAAGAAACAGCCGTGTTCCTCGTCATACCAACCCAAAAATGGCAAAGCAGGTCCTATGTATTTTCTTTAGTACTGTTCCATCATGTCTTTCATGCTTGTCACAAACACGACTAAAGTTTTTCTGGAACGATTTCATGAAGTAATGATTGCAAAACTTCAAGAACATGAGTTGCGAGATCAGAAATTCTGAAGCTCTGGTTCTCCAGAATTTCCGCCAAATTTGCAAAATTGCAATGACAAGTCTACTGCTATACAATAATTTTAGGAAGGCTCTATCATCTTTCAATAGACATATTTGAACCTATTTGTGCTGTTCAATTTTTTCACTCATTGCATTTTGTCCATAAATTTCACAGATTTGTCACTTAATCCCACACACTCCAACATTTCGCCTTTTCAAAAATTTCATCACGAAGCAAACTTCATAACTGGTGGGTCATTCAATAAACCTAAACATGGTTAAAGTTTAAAAAAAACTGTAAACATAACCACAGTCTCACGAAATGGTACCAGGATGTGAACAGTGGATGAAAAGCACAACTGCATATGCACGACTCTGAAGCAATTACCTGTGCAAGACTTAGACGTGTGTAAGGCTCCAAAAGCTTACAATTTCAGGGCTGGAACTAATGAAATGTACTTAGGAGCAGCCATGGGAGCAGCTGAAACTGCTGTCTTGGATCAGGCTGGGAGCAGCTAAAACTACATTCTGGAGCAGGCTAGGAGCAGCTCAAATCAGTTTTCATTGCACTTCAGCTTGTCTTAGATGAGCATGCAAGCAATTTCAATTGTGCTTAGCAGCACAGATGAGCATGACTGGTTAGGAACCTATGTAGATGAGATAACAGTGTATTAGGTGCAAAAACTTGGCCTTAGTGAGAACTTAAAAGCAAGTACCATATGTTTGTGAAGATAGTGTCCTTGATATTTTCTGAGTGGCTTTCAGCTGCACAAAATCCACACCTGCACTGTTTATAGCACGACCCAAACGTGCTCGACATAGAAATTATATGTGCAAACCACGTGACGTGCGTAAGCAACGGACGTGCAGTTGTGCGGAGGAACAGGGCAACAAATTTTGAGCTCATCCTATTGTACAACTCAATATCGAAGCATCAGACTACGATTAACGGAGTTATCATATTCGAAGCAATGAGCCAGAGCAAGATTAAAGTACGCCGAGCAGATCTACCACTCACGTGAGAGCTGCTGGCCGGCAAGGATTCAGATCGGACAGCATTTCAGTCCGATCAAATCACGATTTATCTTGCAGGAATGCGGTTCTAACTTCTAACGATGAAGCACTAAAAGAAATCTTTCGCTGATGTGTTTTCAACTGGCTGACGTCTGGAAGACGGGCCGCAGACCTTCAGGCTATCTGACGCTATCTGAAACCCGGGCCGCAGACCTCACCTCGGCCGACTTGCTTAACCGCTTATGGTTGAAGAATAACAATCCAGTCACAGGTGATGTAGTGCTTGAAATCCGACCCCAGAGTTTTTTCGCGTGCTTCCGACTCGGGATACACAAGAAAAATAAACAGAACAAAAAATTGCAAGGCCGACCAAGCTAAACGCACTCATCGTTGCCAATCGAGTCGATAAAAACTGAAACCAAGACAAAATAGAACTATTTTGGCACACGTTGTGCGATTTAGAGCTGTAATGGCGCAAAGTGTTGGCTGTGGCGCAGTTTCCGCAAAATGGCGCAGGATGGCGCGGACAAATGCGTCTGGTGCAAAATGGTGCAAATGGCCCCTGAATTTAGGCCCACCCCTGAATTTCGAAGCAGGGAAAGTTTGAGCATGGGGGAAGTCCCCAGCAGGGAGGGTATCACATCATTCAAGAACAGCCTGTGCGGTGGCCCGCACCTCGTCCTGCTGGTTGTGACTTGGGTGGCTATGTCTAACATACTCTCTCCGATGAACTACCAACACAGCCCCTTGGTTTTGTTTATGTAGCAAGAACAGAATGTTGCCACCCATTAACAAGAAGATGCTTGCACCTCCTGTCACGATTGTTGTGCTGTTTCTATCTGTACCTGCCCCGCCAGCTGAGGGCTCAGAATGCCAGGGGCGAGTTGTGCCCTCTAGATGTCAGATTCGTGCCTGGGTGCCCTACGCCCGGCACCGCAAGGGTCACGCGCTTGGGCTCTGACACTGTGTGGGAACACCGACCCTCACGGGGAAGCGGGAAAGGGGATAGACAGAAATATGCAAGAGCAAAGACAAGGCAAAGAAGGAGGTCTTCGGGTCGGTGCCACCGCAGAGATCCGAGCCACTGTCTGACATCGGCCAAGTTCAAGGATCAAGTTGCTGACATCATTGTGTTGTGTATTTGCCCAGTCATATGTCATCTATTCTTGTCTGCCTGCTATTAAACTTTAAACCTTTCTCATCCCGGCATTCGGGCGACCCAACACCTCATCGCTCAATGCTTCGTTTGGCAAGGGATGAACAAAGATGTGCGTGAATGGGCTCGCACGTGTTTGCATTGTCAGCTGTCTAAGGTTCATCGACATACCCTTGCACCTTTCACCACAATACAGACAACCACCGCTCACTTCAACAACATCCACGGGGACATCGTCGGTTCTTTGCCACCATCCGACGGAGCCATCTACATGCTCACTTGCATAGATAGATTTACCCACTGGCCAGAAGTTTCCCCTATTGCAGACATCCGCGCGGAAACCGTAGCGAAGACAGTCGTCAGTGGTTGGATTTCGCGACTTGGCGTTCCGTCATCTATTTCCACCGATAGAGGCGCATAATTTGAATCTTGTTTGTTTCACGAGATCATGACTCTTATCGGATCCTCCCGAATTCGAACAACAGCGTACCGTCCCGCTGCTAACGGCCTGGTGGAAAGATTTCATCGTACCCCAAAGGCCACACCAAGAGCACACAATGACCCGAACAACTGGAGCACACTTCTTCCCATCGTGCTTCTAGGCCTCCGCACAACACTCAAGCCAGACTTGGGATGCACTGCCGCAGACCTAGTCTACGGGCAGTCACTTCACCTCCCAGGAGAAATGTTTGTGACGTCTCCTACTTCTACCGTGCCCGATCCTTCCAGCTATGCCACCCAGCTTCGAGAAGTTATGCGGAACCTGCGTGCCACACCAACAAGGCAGCACGACCGTCATCCGACGTATGTATGCGACGAGTTAACCTAGGCCACACATGTTTTCTTGCATTGAGACGCAGTCCGGAAGCCTCTGCAACAACCTTACGATGGCCCTTTCAAGGTCCTCAAAAGGTGCAACAGGTATTTCGTTCTGGATTTGAACAGGCGGCATGACACCATCTACGTTGACCACCTGAAGCCTGCTCACATTGAACTGTCGTCCGCAT